TTTGATTTGGCTTGGAGCAACCTGGGACAGTGGAAGGTGTCCCTGCCCATGGGACAAGACCTTTGAGGTCCCTTCCAACCCAAACCCATTCTGTGATTTTATGATAAGTTACTGGTTTTTACCCAGCAATTCCTCCTATACCAAATGCAGGTATAGCTGTCTTATACAATTCTTGCCTGACACACAGTCATCATTTCCTCCTGTCAGCATGTTTTTCAATGGCAAGACACACTTTCTCCACAGTAAAGGCTCTGCATAGAAACACATGGCTACGTCACAGAATTAATGGAGAACTGTGGATGCTGAGGGATTAGTGTGTAGTGGGGTTCTTGTGGAGTAACAAACATTTCTTTAAAGCTTATGAGGTACAAGGTGTGTAAAGGTACATTCTACAATTGTCCTCTTACTGCAGCCACAGTAGAAATGAAAGCTGGACATTGTGTTAGTCCCAAAGTAACAAGAAGAATGAGGTGCTGGAACAACTTTCCATTAGAGAAAGTGGAAGCAAACAGCCAGTCTGTTATTATCCAGGTGAATCTGTGATGTTGAGAAAGCTTGGCAGGAGAAGAAAGCACATAGCAGCTACTTGTTTGTGGGCCATAATGTTTGGAACTATTTCTGCAAGATACAGAAAAAAAAAAGATAAAGGACTGAAACATGTTAGTCAGTCTGTATTTTATGTCATGTGGGGAGTTGGTTCCAGCTGTCATAAACTACTTGATGGACAGATGCTTTTGTTATATTAAGAAACTGATTTCAGAATTTCTGTTCTAGTTCTTACGGTATCAGTCATAGGAGTATTTCTATAATAAATTGAATATAGAGGCTTTCAAGGCACAGATTGCTCAGTTTGTAAGACAGAATTGTTATTTCACAGTAAATCATACTATTTCTGGCACTTCATTTTTCCTTGGGATTGTGGTACGTGAAAGAGCCATGAAATATTTTTTCAGAGTACAGTGCTCCACTCAGAGACAGGATCATAAGGAGAGGACTCCCTGTATGGAGACAGAGGTGACAGTTTAAGTTCCAACACTGGTATTTCTCTTTTAGCTGCCAGGAAGCACCAGAAGATGGCATGGTTTGTACAGATGCATGCTGGAAAGTGAATGAGTGAGCTTGTGAGACTGCTATTAATAATCTTGGGTGGAGTGTTTAACTGTTGTAAAGTAAAGCAGCAGCATGCCGTATTTGGACTGTTATTTCTTCTTTCTGCCAGTCAGGGACAGCAGTAAAGTCCAACCTATCTATTTATTCTCTCTGTCTATCTGTCTGTCTGTCTATTTTTCTATCTATCCTTCTCTGAGTTTGGATGGCGCAGAAAATGGGAGGGGAAAAGTGAAAAGAAAGCAATTGTGATGTAATCTTGGTGCAACATACGCTGAAAGGTCAGCCTGACAAAAATGGGTATTGATGGTACCTGAAAAAGATGGCACCTTCCCTCAATAATTTTGATGAAAAACTTTGTTTGTGTCCTCTATGTCTGTCAGTTCGAGCCTGAGATCTCAGACCTATCCCTTTAACTTTCCCGTTCTCCCCTCTCAGTTCCCAGAAAAAATGTGATGAGCCACAGGGTGTTAAGGTATTGTTTTACACTCTGGAGTGCCAGAGTCTGCTAGCTTTGGAGATTCAGGATTTAAAAATACTTCATCTTAACATTCCTAATGTCAGGAAAAGGAGGAGTGTATTTTAGAAGCTGTGTTTGTGGGGTTCTGCAGGAACCAGCAGGCTCTGCCTAGACTCCCATTGGTTACTGGATCCGAAGTTTTCTTTCATGCAGGTGCAGGTGAAGGTTTTTATCAGTTTAATTAAAGGGTTCTTCAGTGGAGTAATTTGAGACTGTGGGCTAACCAGTTAATATCTCCCCAGCCTTCTGAAAATGTAAAGAACTATGAAAATGTTAAAAATTATTTGTTAAAAAATAATTAGTACAGGGGAAGAGCAGGTTGAAACTATGTCCCCTACCATAATTATTTGAGCATATGACCTGCTTTGGCTGATAATCATAAAATCATAAAGTCACTAAATGACTTAGGTTGGAAAGCAGCTCCAAGATTATCATGTCCAATTTATGACTTGTCAACAACACCATGGCACCTAGTGCCACCTTCAATTGTTTCTTTTTCACTGACACTGCATAGTAAAATTCACAGAACTGTGTGGTTATGTTTATAGAACACACTTGCTTTGGTTTTTTTTTTTTTCTTTTCAATGACTATCCAGGCACTGATAATGTCTTTTTAAGGACATGTTGAGTTTATCTCTGTGACTTGGTCTTTTATGAATTTTTGAGGCAAAGAGCTTAATTCAGAAACTGATTCTGATGTATGGCAGGAATAACTCTGTAGAAGGTGGCAGAGTGCTGTAATGTGGAACTGCTTTTAGTTAGCTAACTCTTGTTCCTTCCCACACAGTTTCTTTAAACTCGCTCATCTATGAACTCTCATCCACAGCATTGGTTTCTCCTCCAAGCCAGAATAACTCCGGATGTTTCTTACACCTTAGGGAAATCTCATAAACTAGATAAAGTTTGGGGTTTGTTTTTTATTTAGCTCTGATTTACATAGTTGAAAGGGCTCCTTAATAAACTTTTTGAATCTCTACATACTTAGGTGGTGTTAAAACACAGAATCTATGTAAAAAATATTAATTTCTGGAAGTTAATGTGATTTGCTTAAGTGTGATGTTGTTGTTGTGGCTTATTTCATAGACTTTATTTGATTGTGATGGGCTGGAAGCAAGAACTAGGTGTCCAAAATAAGTCCTGTGAAGTTTTGTCTGTACCTCAGCAGTTCTGGCACTGGGTGTGACCACACACCCAAGTGCCTCTTTGACCTTCAGCTCCTTCCTTTGCATATTCTGGTAGCACAAGAAATTGTCTGCATCCTAGCTAGAACCAGCAGCTAACTCAACTAATGTGACACTTTAGAAAGACTTTAAATACATACACCCCACATCTCCAAATGGATGCTTAGTCTGGCACTACACAGTGCAGGATGGATCTGTCCACTGCCCCAGGGTTGGTCTTGTCCACGTGGAGCATCAGGAAGATGATCACATCCTCATACTTCTGTGGGCTGCAGGGAGCTGGGATGTGTAGCAGCACCTCTTAGAAATTGCCTACAGAAGCCCTCCAGAGCTGGGCTGAGCTTATCACCAGTTTCTGCTCTGTTCAGTGCCAGTGCCTCTTGGGCACACTCAGGCTTCCTCAGAGATTTCACATCCCAAAACAACTTTTTAAAATTAGTTTAGGGGAGAATATATCAGGCCATGATTTCTGGGCATACTGAAGTCTTCTTAAGAAGGTCAGATTTTTGTTTTATTACTGTATTGAGATATTCTTGATCATCTTGTCTCAATTTTAAATTTCTGCAATTACTGTTTGCTTCAGTAGCCTCCAGATGCTTCTTCTTGCACGTGAAAAACCTGGCAGTTATGAATGTTTACTGCTAATGAGTTGCCTTTTGTGAAAGTACATTGATTTCTAGATCAACACCACAATTCTAAATGGCCTTTTTAAACTCTGTTACAAGTAGCTGTTTGCAAAGTTCAAAGTCTAAAAATTAATTAAAACCTGAGGCCCTCTTTGGTATAAAATATTTAGTTGTTTTCTTTCTTTTTTGTTCAGAATGACAGACGTTTGTGCTAAGTTGGCAGCTAATGGCAGCTGCAAGTTGATTTGGTTATTGTTTTTTAGGCACCGCTAAATACTGAAATCCTGTTCCATTGTTACATTAACTGTGGTCTTTTCTGGATTTGAATTAGTAAAAATTGTGGCTAAGGTCTTGGAGCAGGACTGATTCACAGCATTTTGAGGACTTATTTCTGTTGTGACACAAGACAAAGTACTGGTTGTTGGCTTTCCCTCAGAAAGCTGTTGGCTGCATACGTGGAAGTGGTTGGGTTTAGGATGGGAGAAAGTCCTCAAAAACAAGGAAAGGTCTTAATGTCTGATCTTTCAGGAATCTGAAAGATTTCCAAGGGTAAATTGATAATTTGGGGAATAAATTCCAGCTTCATGTCAGTATTGAGTGTGTGCCTATAGCAAATTTTCCTCTGTATTGTGCTGGACTCTGGCTGGAATAGTCAAGTTCACTTCAGTCCAACAGCATCAGGACTCTGGAACTGCCTGTTCACCTGTGTGAAACTCCTTTCCAGAATGTACAGACCTCTGGCACATGTGAAAATCTCCAGTAGGAGGGAACTTGTTAAAAATGTAAAGAATGGTGCAATTTTTAAAGGAAGAAGTTTCATTATTTTTTCCTTTTTCTGTGTGAAGGAAAATAATATATTTGCAAATGTAATTGCAGTTCTGGAAACCACATGTCAAATATTTTCTGTTAAAGGAGTTTCCAGAAACCTTTTAGGAGTCTCTTGGTGTTAACCCAGGCACAGAAATGCTGGGGAGAACTTCTGTCTGAAGAGCTTTCAGTTCAGAAAAAGATAGATTATAGTTCCACTTCCACAGAGTGGCAGCTGAGGCTCAGAGGTGTTTAGCAGGGCAGCTGAGGTTGTGCTGTGAAGTTTGCAACAGGGCTGGAAACTGAATCCAGTGCTTCTATGTCTTAGATTATCAGTCTGCCCACATGGGCATCATGTAAAGGTACTGCTCTTCTACACTTCTTCTGGGAGGGATGTGAGCATGTTCTGGCTCCTGAATGAAAACATTCAGAGTGCTGAATGGTTCTTCCTGATGGTATTTTTTACTAGTTTTGTTGCAGTGTGAATGGAAAAAGGCCACTGGCCTCTCCAAACAGCCGTAACAACAACAAAAAACCCCACAAGCAAAAAACTCCACCAAAAAAAAAAAGAACAACAAAGCTTCATTTTTTATCCTTGATGAAATATTTATTTGGAAGCAGCACAGCAAGTTGGAATAGTTTGATTTGATTAGCAAGTCTAAATGTATTAGCAGCAAGACAAACTATATTACGATTAGTGATAATTAGTTGCACTGATTACTTCAGTCTGCAGTACTGTTTGACAGATGTGTTTCTGTGGTGCACTGTTGGAAGAGGAGCATGCTTTACCCTTGTGGTGGCTCTTGGTTTCCCTTCTCACGATGTCTTTGTCTTGTCATTGTTTGCTGATGAAGTCTCCACTGTGGCTGCTGCAAATACAAATACTCTCTCTTAAAAGTAAAGTTTAAACTGGGAAATAGTGATGTATGTGCTCGTAGTGATGATTGACAGTCCTAGAGAATCCTCTTGCTCTCCATGGAAATGGTCACAGCCCAGCCTATCCTCCCTGCTACTGCCCAGCAGCCCTGTCCTTCAAGTCTGATCCAAACCTCCATGAAATGCCATAAGAGCTGCTTCTGTGGCTGGAGAAGACTTTGGATCAGATGCCTTCAGTGGACAGAGGAATCTGGCTTCCCTGCCTGCTTAGCCCTCGATCTCTGTGACACACAGTAGGGACTGCTAGTGTCAGGATTTGTAGCAAAGAGGATTCTTGGGATCAGATTAGGGAGAATAAAACCCTTTAGGCAGACTGTATCCCACAGGGGAGAAACAACCTCTTCTACTGGCTCACTCAAGTCCACCTGTGCCAGGGAAACATGGAAACCTAATTGCTGTTGTGTGACTGAGGAGCAAAGAGGAAGGAGACCAAGCATTCTGAAGCTACAGTTCATGGTCTGTAACCCACCTCAGATTCACTGCTCTGCTCCTCACAAGGTCCTGAAACATCCCTATGAATTGCAGGTGCTACTTCAAAGAGAATCACTTCTCAGATTGGGTGTCCCTTTTATAGACAGCTGCTCTCTAGAATGCTGACTGTGGAGCATTTGACACAATCATATTCCCTTGCAACTATATCAAGCTAACTTCACTGGCTCAGACTCATGTTGATAAAGGCATTAGGATCTGGCAATCATCCTGTTCCTTAAGAATAAACATATATAATTTTGAATGTCCTGATTTTGGTGTATGAGCAATAATCCCATTATCAGTCATCCAGAATAAAGTGCATTATACTATGTGTTAATATAGACCTGTGCACTGTCTTTGAGCTATCTAGGGACAGATAAGCTAGAAATATGAATTTGTGCAAGTCAAATATTTTCCATCTTTGTCCAAAACCTACATCTTATGTTATTCTGCATGTGTTTTGCTTGGTGCTTTAAAATAGTGGTTCACAGACTATGAAGTGCTTCTATCACTAGGCAGATGTGATAGGTCAAAGAGAAAGGAATCATTTACATGTGTGACACAGTTACTTGTTAGTATGGCAGAAAATGCCAGAGGTTAAACATTTGGGATGGCCCATGGAAAACATTTGAAGATTTCCAGACAGCTAACTATGGAAGAAAGGTCTTGGATGCCAATACTACATGAACTGACAATTTATAACCATCAACTCTTCTAGAAATATGTGTATATTTCCAGCTGGATGAACTTATGAGGCAAATTTTAAATAGAAAAGGTAAAATGTAGAGTCTGTCTTATCATTCTAAAGATGCCATGATTATGTCCTTTGCAAGTAAGGCTGTATTTCTGGATGTTTCTTTTGTCAGATCACCGATCCTTAGTCACTGCTATAATACTGAGCACTGAAGGATTTTCCTGTATTGTGGTGTCCTAGGGATCATTGTGTTACTCATATCTTGTACTGTTCTTAGGGCTTGTAGTTAGCCTGCAGTGGAAAATCAGGGTAAACTGTATGGTGAGTAGGGAAGGATCAGCTAACGTAACTCGTGAAGAAATGTTAGGAGATGTTTGTTTGCTGAGTTTTTTTCTCTGATGGTGGGATTCTGCCCTTCTACAAAACTCTGGGCAACCTGAGTTGGTGCTTAGTGGCTTTCCTGGCTGGGTGGCATTTCCCAGGGGAGCTCAGCACGTGTCAGGACAGAGCCCAGAGGTCAAGAGAATAATCACAGAGGTTGGGGCAAGAACGTCAAATGAATAATTTGAGGAATAAGTAAGAAAGAGAGACTGGGGGACTGTGCAGAAGGCAGGAGTGGAGGAGGCTGAGTACTTATAAGCCTGATGGCAATTCCACCATGGCTCTACCTCTGATGGGTGCTGCCTCCCTCTGAGCACCCTTTCCCAGCTGGGAGTCCTCCTTCAGGATTACACAAGATGTCCCATTTCTTGTCATCCGACTTCCTTTAATAAAAACACTGCTTTTGCATTTCCCTTTCTTCCTCAGCTCTCCAAGCAATTAACAAACACAAATTAATACCAAACACCCCAAGCCCTTATTGCAGATAAGGCTTGTCCCCTTCTCCTCTGTTCACACATGGGTGAGGAAAAGTTTGGGGCTTAAGTGGTGTGACAAAAGTCACAATAAGCATTGTGGCAGGAGTGGGAAGAGATCTTACTGGCATGTAGACTCATAGAGAATTTTGCAGTTAATAGCCCCTTGAAATCAAAAGCTTATAGATATGTTTATGGATCTGGACCTTATTCTGAACAGTTGCACTGTCTTTGTGGTATCTACCTAGTCAGCAAAAGATGTTTCTCTGAAATAATTATGCCTGTGTGGTTTTGCAGCTGTAGCAAAAAGGAACTGCACAATCTCTTTAAACAGTACATGAGGTCTGCATGTTCCCAATGCAAATGGAATATTTTTCTATAGCATATGCTTTTTACTTACAGCTTAATACTTTTTGAAGCTTACAAGCTTATAAAGTGAGCTGGTTGTGGTAATGAGTGGAAAACCATCTGTGAATGCATGGCTTCCTCAGAGCATTTGCATGTAAACTACAATGTCACAACAACAGTCCATAGAAAACTTCCTTACTGACTGGAATCATAGAAGGTGGCAAATTCATTGGTCAGCTGAAACAGGAAATTTAAGTGAAGGAGAAAAAGAGTAGGTGAAATTAATCATAGAGCTTTGAATATGGAAACATTGGATTTTCAGAATGAAATGTAACTTTAAAAAAGGCTTTAGAAGAGACCTTCTGGCTGTCATGCTCAATTTGTCTTGATTTTTGGCAGGTCACCTGCATAGGCCATTAAACTGATTGTCTTGGGATATATGCTAAAAATTGAGTAAACTCCCTAATATTAATTTAAGAAAAGCTGATAATGGTGTAATGCTGACAATTTATAGTGATCAATGCTGGCAACTGTTTCTTTGAAAGCTATGAAACCTAAGACCATGAATTTTCATTAATGGAAAAAAAAAAATCAGAGATATGACTAAAAATTAAATTAGGATGACTTTATACCAAGCTATTAAAAACTGTGGTTTTAGACACCATTACTTGGTTTCTTGCACTGATCAGAATGTTGCATTAAGGGCCTGTCATGACCTGCAGTACTTGTTGCAGAAAGCTATCAGAAATCCTGGAGAAACCAAATCGGCTCAGAGCCCAGCTTCACAGCTACATCTTTTTTTAGTTACTTGGCCCAGTGACAGTACCTCTAGCACTCAGGATGGTATCTTAACAACCAAAGTCTGAAGTTAAATTTACACTTTTTAGCTTGATTATCAACTTCTGTGTATACGCATATGTGTCTATTGGTATGTACTCTCTATGTATATATCTATGTAATTTCATCATGAGCATAACAGAGCTTTAGCATCCCTGCAAATTTTTGTCTGACTTACACAACATCCTTAAAATAGAGACCCCCAACTGCGTTATTTTAAAATGTGTAATTTTAAAATATAAAATCTTTATTCTACATCCACACTGATGCTTCTCTTTTGCCAAGAGGAAGTAAGTGGATATGAGCATAACTACCTCAGATAGCTGTTGCCTGTGACAGCTAATCAAAAACAAAACTCTCAACCCGTCTAGACAAAAGCTGCCATCAAATATACAGCAAAGCTCACTTAAAAAAGGAACAGTTTTCCCTTTGCTGCTGAAGTTTATTTATCACAGTTAGTCACCATTTGTACCCATAATAGATACAGTAATTTCACTGGTTTTTGAAGCTGATAATGTTTCTGTAACTACATTATTACAGGTCACAAGGTCTCTTATACAGCTGGTCACTCTCAATAAGTCTGTTTAGAAAAAAATTTTTGGTGGTTGTGCAATATATGACAAGTGTCTTGCTAGATCTAATCTTTATATAAAACATACTTAGTGGTGTTCACTATATAATACTTGCCCTGTTGAATTTCAATTACTATCATAGTTAGGAAATTCTGTTTTGAAGTGCCTTTCTAGATGGAATGGAATGTTGCCTGCATTTAAAAGAGATGTTTTTCTTTCTCTTGCACTTTCTAGTATTGTTTGATACTAGGTCACCCTGTGTGATATGACAAACCAAATGACCATGGACATAAAGGGGTGCAGCCAGGTATGTTATGGTGCCTGTGTGCAGCTGTATTAGGAAATTGAAAGGAGCTTGTAGTCAATGCAGCTTTGTCTATTCATTTGTAAATGGAAAATTTCTGGAAGTGTCTGACCTTACCTCTTAGAGTAGACATTTGCTACTCTTCATAGATAGGGAATACAGCAATGGTAAATTGTTTTTTAGAACTTGTTACTGCTGTACTCAGAATAAAGTGTCCAAAGTCATTGGAAATAATGCAGTTGTGTTTTAGCAATGGACCTACATACCCCAAAGATTTGTCTGTATAAAAACATTAGTAAAATATAACTCTGTATTTATATATTACACTTGAGCCATTCCTTTCTGGATGTTGTGGTGCACTCAAAACTTCTGCAAATTCCCTCTCCTTTTGTAGGAGAGCCTATCTGCTGGCTTACTTTCTTAGCACAATGTAGCCACATAAAGCATCACTGGCTTCAATTTCCTCCTGAACCTCTTTAACTTTAATCTTGCAACCTCCTGCCCTCTCTAGTACTGCTTCCCAGTTATCAGGCAAGAGCAGGGGGTCACCAGGGTTTTCAGAATTTGATTAGCACCATTGTTATGAATAATTCAGATTGTTTGGTGCCAGCACAAGTGATCCAAGTAGCAATTTGAAAAATCTGATTTAGGATTTAATATCTCTGAAAAAATTAATTAGTGCTGCTGATGAGGGCTCTTGACTTTGTCCATTCATATTGATGAATTTAGTGCCAGTGAAAAGCAAGATTGAAACAATCCAGCAAAAACAAGTGTTTCTGTGGCAGAGCTCATATTCTGTTACAGATACCCAAGGTGCACATGCTCCTTCCTCCCTGTTCCAGTCCAGCTCTTC